TTTATGGAAAAACAAGTCATATTTTAAGCTATAAAACTCTGCTCATCCTTTACTGTACATGTATGAAATGTATGTCCATCCATCCATTTTTGGCTTTTTATGTGAGGTTGGGTCGTGGGGGCAGTAGCCTATGTAGAGAGGCTCAGACGTCCCTCTCCCTGGCCACTTGAGGCGTTCCCCGGGCAACTGAGCGACATAGTTCCTCCAGCGTGTTCTGGGTCTTCCTTTAGGTCTTTTCCCGGTTGGACGTGCCCGGAAAACCTCACCAGGAAGGCGTCCTAACTAGAAGCCCAAGCACCTCAACTGGCTCCTCTTGATTTGAATAAAATGTATGTATTTGGGTAAATTCAAACGGCACAGGTTATGTTTAAAGTGAGAGGCAACAGACTGCTCAAAAACATTCAAGACTAATTTAAGAATAGAGAGGGAGGTTATGAGCTGAGAGGACAACAGAATTTTAAACAACCATCCATGCGTACACGTCACTCTTCAAAACATGCGTACATCAGTTTGTGGAGGAACTTTGTGGAAGGGCCGAGATGAAGAAGAAAAATATTGTACAGTTTAAAATAAATTTTAAGGAGTACATAAAAATGGTGAAAATGTGTAAAGGAAGGAAGACTGAATAAAAAATTTAAGATAAAAAATATCTGGCTGTAAAGTTGCAAGTAAGGCGTGGGACCTACTCATCAAAACAAGGAAAAAGAAGCCAACTCTGTACATAAATTAAATGAAGGCGTATGTTAAGTGTATTCAAAGGATGCCAATAGTGAAGTTGTGTTTGTGCTCCAACAAACCCTTAAAGATCCTTTTTTCCATTATTTATCTCTAAAAATGTTAAAGCGACTTTACGGAGTTTTGAATTTTATGCTCGCGATTGCCCCCTCAGGCAAAAGGCGTAACGGCAGCTTCAATAGTAGGCTCGTGCACGAGGCGCGCATGCTGTACGTGCACACTCCTTAACGAAAATAACAGCTGAGACAGTCCTGTGTGTGTGTGTCCCAGAGGACAGAGGACAGGAGAACACGCAGCTAATTAATTAAATAATTTGGTTCTGTACCTTTCTCTTCAGCACAGCCGACAAAGGTTCAAGATGGGTCAGTCCGTCAGCTTCACAGAGCTTCCCTTCCCTTGCTTGAAAAGTTGTTCCAAAATGAAAGTTGAACCCACATCTTTTTTATCTGTGAATTCAATGCCGTTTGGCGAGTCTCAAATAAAAATGTGGGCATCTTACTGTAAAAAAAAATGTCCTTAATGTAAAAATTTAACTAAATAAATTTTGTTCACACCTACATTCGGACCCGGATCTTCCGCACGGAGTCTGTCTTCTAACTAGGTGAGCTAAAGCGCCAGTAGCGTTGTTTGTATCTGTGGCTTTTATATCCTTGATGACAGCTGAAACAACGTTCAAAGAACGGTTCGGAGCGAAAATGGCTATTTTGTTGCTAATTTGCAGGAAATATCTAGAAGAAAGTAGCTAAAGGTCCTCAGAAATGTAGCTAGGCTCATCACTAGGCGTTAGGAACAGCGACAAAGTGGCACTACCTCTCTCTCTGCTGCTAAAGCTACGGATAGCAAATGCTACGGGCTATGCCTGAGCGTGAACGCGCATGAAGCAGCCTGCTCGACCCGAGCATCTCTCTTTTTCTGTGATTTTACAGAAAAACAGGTAATCACAGTAAAAATGCCAGGGCTCATTCTACAGGATCAGGGCATTGCAGGAGAATGTATGAAGAAGACATTTATTATTTCTATACATGTTTTGGCTGTCAAACTTCCATAAGTCCCTTTAAATCTGTGAACTTTTTTGTGCAATTAACAAACTATAACGTGTTTTTTAAGCACTGTTTAAAAACAAAAAGTACAAAACTACAAACACCTTAGATAAAGTGTAAAAGGAGCATCCTTTGAACACAAATATGTTGTACACACTAGTGAATGGCCGTTAAGGAACTGGGACACAGTTTTTGTCCCACACATAGTAAAAGACAAAGCCTTGGCATCCTTATTAGCACCACAGTCCTGCTTTGCAGCTGTTGCTTAGTAACAGGAGTCAGTGCATCTTCTGAGTGCAGGACATTTCATCACGATGCTCGTTTTGGAAAGAAGAATATGTGTAAAGATGGAGTAGAGGAGTGGCGAGAACAGGGAGGCTGAGGTCACGAGGCAGATTTAAGAGCCTGTGTGAAGTTATTGCAGCATGACACAGCAGATCAGCTCTGCCCTGTCATGATTCTGTCCTCGCTCCACCTGCCTGAGACTCAGCATGTATCATATCCCCCTAGAGCTGCTGCACAGCCCGATTGGTCAATGCTTGCTGACATTTAAACAACCGAATACGCTCAATGAGATTAGAGACCGACTGTCAGTAAAGTGGTTAATTCAAGCAGATATTTGTGCTTCTGGTTTTTCAGATTTTTGTTTTGCTGATTGTCTTTCGATTAACGTGGATTTGTCACTCCATGTCAGCTTCTACTAGCCTGGCAAGCCAGACTAAATAAATGTATTTTATGTATCTTCTTTGCAAAGCAAGAATTTGGTCTAGTTCACTAGGCTAAGCTTCTACATGTCTTCTTTTGTACGTTTTAGAATTCAGCCAAAAAAAAAAGCTTCTTATTCTCACAAGGAGACGATCAGAATAGGGTCACAGAATTTGTCTTAACCCTTACGTGCACACTGGTGCATACTGGAATACTCGACTGTAAATGTGCCACATTTGTTGTTACAGAGCTCCATTAATACCATTTTCTCAGAACTCCTCTGCTGTGACTAAGTAGTGTGAAGTCTCAGTTTAATCAGGACATTTCTTTAGCTGAATTTAACTCACAGATGTATAAAAGTAAAATATTTTTCTTGTCTTCTCTATTTCAGATATCTCCAGAATATCTTATTACGCTGGTGAGTACATATTTTAATCGGTGTTCTATTTTCATTCTTTCAGATAAAATAACAAAGACCATGAATGTGAAATTTTTACTTCATACAATTCTACAGAATTGCATCAAATGTCTGCACGAGTTTTGTACATTAGGTGAATGTTTGAATCCTGTACATCATTAGGCTTGTTTGGCAGACATTGGTATCAGTTATGAATGAAGTAGTGTCCTTCTTCTAATGAAAATACAAGACTCTGTTTGAGTTGCGTTCTGCTACCTCATCTGTTGGCACTTTGGCCTGTGTAAATTAGATGGCCTAACAATATCAAGAAGTGCCTCAGGGTTAAGATTAATTAATTGTAAGCTGTTTTTATGGCCCATTTCTCCAGGATTTCCTCTTGGTTGTTGCTAGGTAACCAAGGGTCTCATCCATCAGCAGAATGTATTGCTCCTAAAAAGGGTCCAAAAGATGCATGGCATTTATTAGTGTCAACTTTGATATTTCTTCAATGAGGGAAGTGTTGGGTAAGGTTGTAATCTTTCCAACGTAATTGATCAAATATATTTAAAGTTTTCTAAAATATTTCTACCTAGGTGTGTTAGGGTTTAGTTTATTTGTTGATTCCATTGAATAAACAAATCAACAGGGACAGCAGTAGCTCAGGAGGTAGAGCGGGTTCTCCCGTAATCAGAAAGGTGCAGGTTCGATCCTGGCTTCGACCAGTGAAGGCTGCTGTTGTGTCCTTGGGCAAGACACTTAACCCGCCCTGGCTGCTGGTTGTGGTTGGAAGCGCTGGTGGCATCAGTGCTTAGAAGCCTTGCTTCTGTAAGTGTGCCCCACAGTAGCTGTGTGTCAATGTGTGTGTGAATGACTGATTGTGATGTAAAGGGGGGGGGGGGGGGGGGGGGGGGGGGGGGTACGGGCAATTTACCATTTATAAATGTCAGATTTTTTTCCAAAGTCTGTCTTACAAAGTTTTCAGCAAAACTTCGGTTAGCTTCAAGCTTTTACCGCACCAACCCTGATTTGTAACTGGTCAAACGTAGCGTTGCACAGCTCCGCCCCTCCCTGCAGGAGAGATGTAGATGTGCAGCGTGGGATCTTCACCACGCCACCTCACAGCATTCTCTGAAGGAGTTTAGTAGTTTGTGTGATGTGGTGGTTTCTTCACAACAATGGCAGTGGACATTAGGGATGTAAGAAAATATCCATGTGGCAATATATCGTGATATATTTTCCTGCAATATGCTATCGATATTCAAATGCTGTGTGTCGAATTTTTGGAAGAATTTACATTCAAACATTTGTCTTTTTTTTTTTTTTTGGTGCATTTCAAACGCCGACCGCTCATTGGCAGCAGTTTAGGTTGGGTTTTGTTTCCACCGTTAAAATATGGGTCAGATACCTCATGTTAAACATGTTATGTATCAGTTTGGACTGTTTACTGAATTTTCCTACAGTAAATTCAGTCTAAAAAAAGATGCTAGTATCGTCTGACTGAATGTCTTAATATATTGTGATGTATCATATCGTCTCCCGGTATCGTGATACGTATGGTATCGGCAGATTTTCACCAGTACACATCCCTAGTGGACATGATTGTTCCCTTTGTGGTGAAATATACATCAACATACTCATCATCCTCTGAAATGCGATTGTTGTCATGCTTTGTGAATGGTGGTCAAGTGTTCACAAGCTTGTGTTTCATCACCTTCAAGGGATCTATTGATGGAGTATTTCACCGCCAGTGGAGAGTTGGCACACAGCAGGAGGTGAAATATCTTTTAGAGGGGAGGGCAGAGGAGACACAGAGGACTGATGCAGAAAAAAAGAAAAACACTGAAAAAATCAAGTGTTACAAAGCGTCAAAGTCTGGCATGCTTCCAGTTGCTTAGCACTGATCCTGGTAAACCCTTGTGAGTGATTGGTCACATGAGTGGCTGTTTATTAGAGTGTTGATGAGGAGTGTTGTCCTCTTCAGCAGCGTCCAATCAGCTCGTGTGTTTCCACTGCATCAAGTCTCAATTACAGAACTTCACTGTTGTTCTTTCTCCTCCTCCTCCTCCTCCGCACACACACACACACACACAGACACACACACACGCACGCACGCACGCACGCACACACACACACACTTTGCCCTCCCTTGATGGTTCAGCTTGTTAGTGATCTGAGCAGCTTTTTTGCGGCGTGGACACAGCAGAGGAGAAGCACTTGGATTACTCACTTTTTGCTGACACAAATGCACTTGCTTAGATTTTACATTCATATTTCCGACACACACTTACACACACACAGAGGTACTTGCCATACCAACATGCGCACTGACGTCCTTCTTTCTGGCTTACGTACATACTTTCTTCGTCTACAGATTAGTTCTGACTGCTCGAGGATTTTTCTGGATAGATGCGGTGTTTCTGTTTTGACGCGGTGTTTTTGTGTGACAGATTGGGAATGATGTTGCTCTCTTGCTTCCGTTTCGATGCTACAGAGAAGAGCCATCTGAAACCACACTGAACGACCCACGGCTGACTGACTTTGAAAAGGATTTACTGCATCAAACCTATTCCTGCACCTCTTTCCTTCGGTTTCCAGTCTTCGACCTGTATGGATTTGCACTACAGGTTTTTCAGCCATTGTTTTTTCTTCTTTCCACCTCTTTTTTTAGTTCTTTGCCACATCATGTCCCTGTCCAACATCAGACACCTGCTTTGACCTATCTACCTCCTGCAGAAATACGAGGAAGCTCTGGAGGATGTGGGGCGCAGCTTCTCCCAGGGGTTTCTCCGCTTTGTGTTTCATCCTGATGACTCGATGATCTCATCTTTCTTTTTGCAGCCCATGTTTTTAGTCTTTGGTTTTTTTTTATGTACTTTCTTCATCCTTCTGTATCCTGTCCTCTTTTCCTCCCTCCTCCATCAGCCTCTTTCATCCTCCCCTCACTATGCTCCATTTCTCTGTGCCCCTCTCTGCCCTACATTTTCGTCTCATTTTCCCACTGATGCCCATTTCTCTCATCTGCTTCCTGGGACTTGTTTTGCCATCGCCTTTGGACAGAATCGTGGATTTCCAGAAGAAAACGACAAATGTTTGACTTTAACGGTTTTCTTATGGAGTATTTAAGTAACCTGACAAGCTAAGATTTATGGCGTCATGAAGAGGAGCTCATCTGTGAACATCACAGGAATGATTGATAAAGTGGATCGTTAAGTTTGAGCTGATGACCTGAATTTGAGGATTTATTAGACCACAGAGGAATCTAACGGGAACACATATCGATCTGTCGGCCTCAGGAGCAAAACCTTCATCGTACCAAAGCGTCCTTCAGCAAATCATTACATTTCACCTTTCATAGTCAAAGGACTTTGCTGGGTCAAAGGTCACAACGTGTATTGGACATGAACTTTGGCCATGAGGCGCTTGAAGTCACAAAAACATCTCTAAGCTGAAGAGAGCTGAGTGGGAGTTTTGCTGAACTTTAAGTTCAAATTTGAATTGATCTAATTTGTTTAATGTCTTTTCAGAAGGGCTGACTTTCAAATTAGCAAACAAACTCAGCTGTCTGGCGTCCATGTTTTTTTACCCAGAGGTGGTGGACATCTTTTAAATTTTTATAAGTAGGGAATTGCAGACTGGTGTTTCCTGCACGTGCTGTGTCCTCCTTCACATCCTGTATTTCCTCCACTTGGTCACTTGTTTCACTAAGCTAAGCTACAACACTTTTGGACAAAGTTTACCATGGATCCACCTGTGTTGAGTTGCAGTCCTCTCTCCAGTACGGCAGCTATCAGTTTCCAGCCTTTTGTGGACATTTTAGGACATCTTTCTAGTTCCGTCTCCTTGGAGCATCCAGATTTGTTTAGCAGGAATTTTGTCTAATCTGTTTGGAAAAGCCAGAGTAGAAAGTACTCCTGGTGTTAAGCTCTATGCTGATTTTGGGGCATAGTGGTTTTTGCAGGGTCCTGTGGCCCAACCTGGACGTCTGTCCCAAGCAGAACAAATGGAGAATAGTGGCTGCATCCCACTCTGCTGGAGCAAAGGGGCCTGCATCTATGCACAGCACCCCTTACCAAGTATGTACTAAAAACAGCCGTTCTGTACTGATAGTTTATGTTCGGCTTTATTTTAACTTGCAACAAAAAACATTTTGTAAAAACTACAACTTTGCTTGTTCACAGTTTGCTGATCTACACGTGAAACTCGAACAATTACAATGTGGTGCAAAGGTTCATTTATGTTGTTAGTTCTACTTAAAAAGTGAAACTAATACATAAGATGGACTCATTGCACGCAAAACCAAATATTTCAGCCTTCATTTGTTGCAACTGTGATGATTATGCAGGTTTTTCCTGGCTCAAATTGAGGCAGAAGTGGTACTATCCTGACCATGCGCCAGCACGTGCATTCAACTGCCTCACTTTTTTAAGGGCAAACTATTTTTTCGTTAAGTGTTCTAATCCAAGCTTCTGTGGATTAATTGAATATTCCATTTGACAACGTTTCAAGTGAAACAAAAATGGTTTGCTGCTAAAAAAAAGAAATAAAACAACAAAATTATCAGGCTGAAATAACAGACTCTTATTATAAAAGCCTCAATAATATGCATTAGATTAGTGTTTAGTTCCCTTTTTTGCATCTGATATTTATAGTTAAAAATATTTTTAAATATTTTACCTACATTCCGTAACATTTTAGGTTTGTATGAATGACTCTCATCTTAGTCAAAATAACACATACATTTATCCAGTAAAATATAATGCATTTCATTAACATGCATTTGTATTGGAAATGGTAATAACATTTCTTTTCTGCTGCTAACAATGTAATGGTGGCATGTCTATTTTGTACGGGTTGGCAATAATCTAGTTCAAATTGGTGCCAACTAGCGAGAAAAGCTTGATCTTCTTTGTCTGCAGCGGTTTTAGCGCTCTTTGGTGCACCGCTGCTGATACAGCACCCCTTTAGTGGCGCAACGCTGCAACTGCAGTTAAAACAACATCCATATAGCTGGGGGCAGAGTGAAATCAGGCTGGGGCGATACAAAATTAGCTGGAGGCGGCTGCCACGCAAATTTGAATGCAGAAAAACCCCTGTTATGGCTTACAGCTTATGAAACTCCAAATTCTAAATCTCAGATAACTGGAATATGGTGAAAAGGCTCAATATTCTAGATACTCTAATCAGCTAATGAGTCCAAAACACCTGCAAAGGGTTCCTGAGCCTTTAAAGTGGACTTTTGCACGATATTCTAATTCTTCCGGTTTCATTTAAACCAGAGAATTAATTATCTACTTTTTACTTCATTAAATATTTATTTATCACAACTATTCTATAACTATACTTAATATTGATTATTTATCCTGTTATAAAGTAAAATATTTTAGTAATTCACACGTTCTACCAAACAGAATTTGTATGTTGCAGTTGTGTATTTTTTTTGTCTTCACAATCTAAGGACATGCTTACAAACCCATTATTCACATGTTTATAGATATAGAGCTAGTGTTTGGACTTTACTCTCCCATCAGCCCTCTGGTTAGATGATGTAGACAGTTGGCAGAGGAGAGACTGATTAGGTGATAATAGGGAGGGTAGATGGGATTGCTAGAGGGAAAGAGAAAGATGAGAGGCAGGAAGGAGGTGAGGTGGTTCAATAGGACAGAAGGATCAAGTGGAGATGGAAAAGTGGAACCTTAATGGTCTGTGAGCATGAGAGAAGAGAGACTGGAGGAGAAAGGAGTAGAGATGAAGAGTGAGTGGATGGAAAAAAGGGGTGCTAGAAATGTGTTGCATAAAGCAGAGAAAGAAGCAAAAGTCAGGAGTGTTTGAGGAGAAAATGCAGAGAAAGCAGCTGTTAAAGAGATGGAAAAGCCTTAGTACATGCAGGACTGGGTTCATCCCAGTAACCCAGTTACCCGTTAAGGTGCAGCTGGTGTAGGGCAGGAGGACTCATCCTCCCTTTGCTGAGGGCTGACTACTGTCAGTGGAGCCCCGCTGAGATGGGAGCTGATAGGTCTGCTAGCTGTCTGCGTGGCCTATTTGGTTTGATTCCTGTCTCTGTGTGTGTGTGTGTGTGTGTTATTTTGTTGTATAAAAAGATATTAAGTTGAGTTTCATTTTTCAGCTTCTTACTACTCGGACAGATCCGTGTGTTTCTTAGAGGTGTGATCTAAAAGTATTTCGAACATAAAGTGGCTTTTTATTCCTGAAAAAATGGCATTCCTACTTTTTAAACAAGATTAAGTAGAGCTCTTGCATTCCTAATATGATTATTTAAGAATGGGTTTTATGTTACTGCTTAAGTCATACATCAAGCATCTGTTGACAAGCAGGAAACAATTACCCACACACACATTCTAGATGCTTTCAATTTTCCACAATCAGGAAAGTAAAGCTGTCTCTGAAGTCATTATTTCTATATCGCCAAATAAAACAAAATAAATGTTATGGAACATATAATACAACCAGTAGCTCCCAGTAGCTCCCAGTAGCTCCCAGAACCTAAAGTAGGCTTCCTAAAGCCTGTTAACACACAGGGCCAATCTTCTCAGAGCTTATTGTGAAAAATTCAAGCTGTTTTTATAAAAACGATGGAGTTTAAACTCTTTCTGAAAATAACTAACATTTCTGTGCAGTAATGTGGAACATATTATTGGTGATGGAGTTTTAGAGCTGTTATAGCAAATCTGCCAACAAGCTAGGTTTTGAACGCAAACACAGTAACAGAACACTCACCCCTCCCCTCGGGTATCTACCCTGAGACGCTTCAGCTGGAACCGGAAACCCGCGATGCCGGAGGAAGTGAGATAGTGCTAAACACCAGTTGCCATTTTCTAGGTCCAAGCGTCTTTTGCTGTCCGTGACTTCAGTGGTGTTTTTCTTTTTGGGACTCTGGTAGTTTGTCCTAAAGTTAAAGCAGCCGGCTGGTTCTCCTTCGCTGATGTTCTTGAGCGGAGAACCTCCAACACCAATAGTGTTCTGTTGCTAAACACGTGAGTGTGTGATGAGTGGGGGACCCAGGGAAGTGCGGTGATTCAGTGAGACTGACAACTGGATAGTCCAATAGTTGGCTTCAGTCCAAAATGTGTTACTGGTGGAGGTTTTTAGACAAATGCAAAAGAACCACTTTATTATTATTGTTTGTTTTTCCACAATATATTTATAGTAGATATAACATGTTAGAACAATATGAGGTGGCATGAACAAAATGTTTTAAGCTAATTGTTTTCCAAGTTTGCCATAGCAGTTTTAAACGGTTATTAAATTACTAATGATAATTTAATCAATGATTATTATCAATGTAAGCATTGATAAATAATTATTATTACTGCACCCATGAGCCTTAAAAGCACACTTGACAATGATTGCTTTTAGCACCCTTTAGTGTCCGTTTAGTAGAACCAAACGTGAAACTCACTTCCTCTCTGTACGTTCGACTTTTTAACACTTTATCTGAAATGTCTCCCAGCCTGCATTAGTGTCTACAGGAGCGCTTCATCGCTAAGTTAAACAAACCAGCTGTGTTTAGATCTAAAACATGCTGGAAACAGACTGCAGCGCCAGTTATGTCAGCTCACTTCTTTTCTACATCCAACAGACCGGACCGGCACTCTGAAGTTGCAAATGCGGTGTTATGGTCCACAGAGGGCTGTGGGGGTCTGAATGGCATTTCATTAACCCTGTAAAGGGTCATTTTAGAACATACTGGCTCAAGACAATGATTTAAAATATTAAAAAGTTGTCTAGTGTGTCTTTAATATCCATCTCCTAGTTTGTTTCAGGATTGCAGGATAATCACCTCCAGCAGTCAAGTCCCCAGCTGACATTTGAACTTGGAACGTTTTTGCTGTGAGCTAACGGTGCTAACTGCTGCACCCCCATGCAGCCGCATTAGTCTCATATTATCTGGATGATCATTGTTACTCTGTAAGAGGTGCATTTATAATCTGATGTGCACTAATCTGTGGCGTTAAAGACATGAGGGTCTGCTGATTGCATGCGCTGATCTCTGTGGGTTAAAGTTAAAGTCAAAGTCCCATCAGTTGTCACACACACTGATGTGTGTGCGAAATTTGTTCTCCGCATTTGACCCATCCCCTGGGGGAGCGGTGAGCTGCAGACACGGCCGCGCTCGGGAACCATTTGGTGTGGTTACAGCCACTAGGGTTTTAGACGACAACTTTTATGCTTTGTTTGGGATATTTTTACAATGCAGAGTTCACATGCAGTAGTTTTTGTCAGCGAAGGCTGAGGACATAATGTCCTACTTTACATTTTACTTTGCACGTGAACGCACATAAAAACCATTATTTAAGATTATAATACTGTCCTTCTAAAAGGGCAACCAATGGTCAAGCTGTTGAAAGGGCTGAATCGACTCAGTGTGGATTAGAGCCCATAGTTCTGTTTTTCTTTTAAGTAGGAAGTAATCTGGCTCTGACCTGAGCGCAAAAGAAGCTGAATGAAATGTTTTTCAACTGATTCTTCCTCTCGCTACGGTCCGATCCGTCTCACTAAGTATGACTCACGCTATCTGTAGCTGAATATAAAGAAGGGAAGAATGAGTAAATCTATAAGTGAAAATATACTTTCAAAGAGCAGACTTTGTTTTTTTTATCTCTTGGTTTTACTTGATAGGCTAAATTCAGAATCAGCTAAAATCAGTTCCTGTTGCAATGATGAGTCAACTAACCCAGCTGGGATGTCCAGGAAAGGGCTGAATGATGCAGGAAGCATCGGGGCGATCAGAGCGTCTCCCTGAAGGGTGACTGACATGTTTACAGTAGAAAGATGGGCTGAGTCAATCATTTGATTTAATAAAGCACTTACGTGACAAAGCTGCAGACAGAAAAATGGTTTTAATTTCACTCTTTCATGACTAGGAGTATTTAGATTCATAAGATGCTGCTGTATCTTTTTGTTTTTACAGTAAACATTAATTACAGCAAACGTGACTTTAGTTATTTTAATGTTAAACATTTTGAGCAGAAATCTCTTGGCTGATTTTACACGTCATAAGCAGGATTTCATTCATTTTGTTCCTCTGGAGTAGCTGATCACAGGAAGGAGTGGGCGTGGAGGAGGCTAAATCTGCTCAAATCTATAGAAGGTGTCAGATTATTTAAGGTTGAAAGCTTGATGTAACACCTTGCGCCTGTTGAAGATCCTATTGCCGTGGCAGATCAGGGAATTTGAAACCGTATCACTTTAGTTTTCTGTTGAGTTTGTGGACTTTGAGTCCATTAGGACATGAATGAAAGACCTCGTGTCTGTGTTTCGCTGGTTGAAATTGATCGATGGAGCCCTGAAAACTCCTCTTCAGTTGGATTTGTTTGTCATTGATTCTCTTTTATGTCGTATTGATTCTTGCATGTTTTAGTCATGACTGAGTGGCTGTACGAGTGACTATTGACCCTGACACTTTACATTTAGTAAGGATCAAGCAGTTTTTTACTAATATCCTTAAAACTTAGACTATTAAATGTTTATTTCCCCAAAGATATACATCCTAGTTCAGTACAGAGTATTGGAAACATACCAGAGGTATTTTTTGTGTTTATTTGCAGAATATGATGGCCAGTTAGCCCCAGCAGGACCAACTGAGTCAGGCATGGCATCGTCTTCCTACCTGGAGCCCAGCATCAATCACTCAGCAGCAGGTGGTTGTGGGGTTAAATCCCGGCTGGGAATGCCAGGTGGTCCCGGCACTAGTGGTTCTGCGGGAGGTCTGGAGCGGCCTCCGACGTCCATGGACCGGGTTCTTAAGATCTTCCATTACTTTGAGACGAACAGTGAACCGAGCACCTGGGCGAGTAATATCAGACATGGAGATGCTACAGACGTCCGGGTGAGACACTCTTGCGACCGCAGTGTTTTAATGTGTGTTTTTATGTTATTATTAATATGTTATTATTAATAATTCTTTGTTTATCAAACCACTTTAACAGGGTGTTATTCAGAAGATAGCAGAAATCCACAAACTGCGCTGTGTGTCCTCGCTGGGCCTCCGTCTGACACATTTGCACTCCGATGCTCTCCACTGGTTACACCCTGATCTGGGCGTTTCTCACATCAGGGAGAAATATGAGAAACAGCATCCTCAGGAGGAGTGGAGGTAAAGCTATCCCTCATCTCTCCTGGTGGGCGGCATGCATCCCTTCAGCAAACGCTAAGACTTTAATAATTCTAATCATTTAAAAGTCCTTTACATGCACTTAGTGGACACATTCACTCGTGTGAAACAAATGAATTGTTTTCTTCTCTTGGTGTTTAACCGATTGGGCGTCTGAGTTTCTTCGGGAAAATATTCGGATACTGGTATCGGTATCGGTAAAAGTTAACCGATACAATGCAGTTGCTTGAAGTGGCTTCACTGCAACTTGCAATTTTTGTTCACGTAATATTTTATTTTGTGATCATTTCTAATAATTTTCCTGTTGAAAGCAGAGAAGAAAATAAAACCTGCATCCCAATTCGTTGTATTGTTTTGTGTGGTAGAAGTATCGGTAATCGGTACTCAGATCCAAGTATCGGTATTGTATCGGTTTGGGAAAAAGTGGTATCGTTGCATCCCTACTATTATGACACGACTATTTCAAATGGTTGGAGATAAAAGTAAACTGTGGACGAGAAAAATCACCCATCTCATTTGCATATTATGAGCAGTAGCTCAGGAGGTTGAGCGGGTTCTCCAGTAATCAGAAGGTTGCAGGTTCGATCCTGGCTCAGACCTGAGAATTCTGCTGTTGTGTCCTTGGGCAAGACACTTAACCCACCTTGCCTGCTGCTAGTCGGAGGGACCGGCAGCTCCAGTGTTCATCAGGCCTCGCCTCTGTGAGTGCGTCCCAGGGCAGCTGTGGCTACATCGCAGCTCATCCCCACCAGTGTGTGAATGGGTCATATTTGTCAGATTTTTGGGCTTATTCCGCGTCAGGGTCTGCCCCGGCTTTTGAAACATGTTTCACATTCCCACTACGTCTGCCGATATTTTATACTATCCTTTCTACTCCCACTTTGTCCCAAACACGACGAAATAAGCTTCAGATCATGTTTGTGCAGCGTGTTTACTCTCATGAAGCACATAGACTCAGCAACGTCACTGCCTTTCTCACTGAACGAATGAATATCGTTATCAGAGGGTGAATACTCCTCTCACAATTAGAGTAATCCATTACTCTAATTGGGGTGACGGTGGCACAGGAGTTAAGTGCTCGCCCCGTAATCGGAAGGTTGCTGGTTCGAGTCCCGCTCAGTCTGTCGCTGTCGTTGTGTCCTTGGGCAAGACACTTAACCCACGTTGCCTGCTGGTGGTGGTCGGAGGGACTGGTGGCGCCAGTGCTCGGCAGCCTCGCCTCTGTCAGTGCGCCCCAGGGCAGCTGTGGCTACATTGTAGCTCATCCCCACCAGTGTGTGAATGTGTGTGTGAATGGATGAATGACTGGTTGTGTTGTAAAGCGCCTTGGGGGGTTCCAGGACTCTAGAAGGCGCTATATCAAATACAGACCATTTACCATAACTAGTCAAAGAACATTGTCAACAATGAACAGACCTGTCAGCATTGTAAGTATTCGCCCTCTATGTGCTCCACTTGTCTCCTCCCCTTCTCAGTCGGGAGCCTCCCGGTGGGAGGCGGTTTTCAAACTCTACAAACTCCCAAAATTTCAGTAAAAACACCCAAAAGTGTTCAGATTGAAGTAACACATATCCGCTATCCACTGTTGTAAAGTAATGACTTCATGATGGATTATGTTATGCCTTGTTAAACTCTGCAATGGTGCTTGTCGCAATTCTGCAACTTTGGCGCTTAACGGGTTAATATTTAAAGCCTTTTCAGCCCACGTCAGACGTGTTTCCACTATCAGGGTAGTTTTACTGTAACTTTCCGGCATGCATGCGTCTCCGCTTAATCAGGCCGGCCGAGCAGACCATTTTCCAGGCCGTTTCAGGAACCAGCAGAGGACCTGAACAGGGGTAGGTGTTTGGAATGGCCCGGTAGAGTCGATAAGCAGAACTTTTGGTTAACTCGCGCTGATTGGTTTTAACTCAGTAGGAAATTACATCAGCAGATGTTGCTCAAAACAGTCATTTGTAAAATTAGGGTTGCTTTAGCAGAATGGATGCGAAAGCAAATAAGCACCGTCCACGCTGTTTTACTAAACTCCTAACACCAACAAATGTAGCTAAATTCCCCCACAACGACATAACTCAGGAGGCTTTGTTGTCTCGGAGAGCAGCGTAAAAAACAGCCCTTCTTTTGGTCATTAAATGCCACATTTTACGTCACACAGCATCTTTCCTGGTCCTCCGCATGGATTTAATTATGTTGAAATCTGGTAGAATAAAACTTTTCGTGCTATGTCTGTGGACGCTTTGTGATACTGATCAGTGACATCACTCACTGCCAAAGCAGTCGCGATATGCTGACGTCATTGCAAAGTCCTGAAAGGGCTGAGTTTGTATGGAGGCTCAACAGTTGAGAGGACCGAGCCATCGTATCTCCCGGTCAACGTCCGCCTCCCAGAAATTACCCTGGAGTTCCAACAACGGAAACGCGCATATCTAAACTGTTCTGGTTGCTGACCGTCTCCAGCAGATGCTGTTAACAGCTCTCTGAAGTCATCAAAGTGAAATGAATTCAACACGAAGCAGTGAGACAGAGGAGCAGAGAAGGCTGTGTGCCTCAGAGGGCAGCAGAGCTGCAAGCCCACAGGAGTTTCTGCTGCCGACAAGCTATTGTTGGAACAGCAGCAGCCACTCAGGGGATGGACTCACTTCTCTCTCTCTCAGCTCTCTCTCTCTCTCTCTCTCTCTCTCTCTCTCTCTCTCTCTCTCTCAGCTCTCTCTCTCTCTCTCTCAGCTCTCTCTCTCTCTCTCTCAGCTCTCTCTCTCTCTCTCTCTCTCTCTCTCTCTCTCAGCTCTCTCTCTCTCTCTCTCTCTCTCAGCTCTCTCTCTCTCTCTCTCTCTCTCTCAGCTCTCTCTCTCTCTCTCTCTCTCATCTCTCTCTCTCTCTCTCTCTCTCTCTCAGCTCTCTCTCTCTCTCTCGCTCTCTCTCTCTCTCTTTTCATAATAAACTAGGATGTTTTATTTATTTAGTGCCTGGCCTTGATTTCCTTTGTTACCTAACTACATCATCACAGCTGCTTGGAGCTGACTACTCCTGACCCACTTGTCTCCTCTGTTGTCTCTGTAATGTGTCACACTTGATCAAATGTGTCATTAAAGACAGCAATGGCTCGTTGGGCTATTTCTGTAACACAGCAGTGGGCTGGTGTAATTCCAGAGGTCCCATTAACCTTTATTATATTACAAACTTATCACTTTTAGTTGATTTACTTATCGGCTAATCACTGTATAGTCTTTGCCTGTGCTTCCTGATATGATTTAGTGAGTAGCAAGAACCATGTCGTTCAATTCTAAGACTCAGTTTCACCCTCGAAGCCTGGCAGGCAGCCACCTTTTTAAAGTGATGCAGCAAAACAAAACGTAGAGTCAGCCCTCATCCATCAGTGATGTCCCATCCAACACTTCACCCCACCCTGACGTTGTCCCTGTCTCCTCAGGTACGAGCTGCGGATACGGTACTTTCCTAAAGGTTATCTCAGTCACTTCTCTGAAGACAAGCCTTCTCTCAACTACCTCTATCACCAGGTGAGGAGACAAAGAAAAACAGGAAACATAATTTGATTCCTGTCTTGTAAACTAAATACTGACAAAATGGATTTAGGCATGTTTTTAACATGTTTTTCTGTCATTTGTTGTCGTGAGGCAAACTTTTCTAAGTTCTGTTATGTTTTTTGGTCTCTTTAGGTGAAAAGTGATTATATGCAACAAACAGCTGACCGGGTGGATCAAGATGTTGCACTGAAACTAGGCTGTTTGGAAATTAGGTAAGAACACAAGGATGAACTCTTAAGCCGGGCGTACACTGTGTGACTTTTTCACTTTTTGAGCCGATTTTCCACTCGTGCGAGAATCCACAAGATTGGGGCGAGTTTTGCGCTGAGCGTCGTGTAGTGTACAGGGGGTTTCGAGAGGCGATTAACACCATGTGACCAGCTACCGATCAGCAATCGTGAGCTCGCACGGACTTCTGGAGTGTTTGATATTTTGCTCGTTCCTCGTGAGGGTTGAAGTGGCGCGGCGAGCGGCTGCGACCCAAAAAGTATCAGAACCGCTCACCCGCTGTTTCCCTAATAACACACGTTGTTCGTTTTTATTTCTAAATGTTTTTTTTACACACAGTGACAAGGATTGTCAAGAAAGCGTGTTTGACGTGTTCATGTCAAATTAAACTGGTCACAAAACACAGATTTACTTTCTTTATTTTGTTTTCCTCATCCAACCCCCATAAATCCCTGTGTGTCCTCCTGCAGCACTCCCGAAGGACAACAGGCAAAACAAGACAAAAAAGTCTGACGTGTTGTGTAAAAACTGCTATTTTTAGCATATTTTTAGGTCCGACGTGTTGCTACCAGACGTACAGTGTGACCAGTCAGGTCGCATCCGAGAACTGGGTCGTGCAGTGTGAGCACGTGACTCGTGAGATCTGCCCTGCGAGGAAGTCGTACAGTTTGAGCTGAAGCTGAGTGCTACGAGTGAAAAAGTCACACAGTGTACGCCTGGCTTTAGAGAATCACACATTCTGTGTTTCCACACAGCTGTTCAGTAAATTTGACTGAAACCTTTGACTATTAAACGTGTACCAGTGGATCTGGAGTTAAAATCTGTCAGATGATGCGCTCTAAAGCCTGATTTATAGTTCTTCGTCTGCATCGGTGTGGAGACACGCGACGCCATAATGCAAGGGCTCTCAGACGGGCTCACAGAGGGTGGCAGAGGCGTGCCCAAAGTTTTAAATATCCGTCGAAAGTGACGGAGACCGCCAGCTTGTGATTGGTCAGGACACCGCTTCTTGTAAATTCGTTCTCAGCGCCTCCGTTGCCTCGTTAAGAAGTGAAAAGATATTTAGCGGCAGACCCAGAAAAGGTTGCAGAGCGCATAGCGGGAAAAAGTAAAAAAATCTGAACGTTTATTCACCCGTGACTGCAGGAGTACAAAATACAGTGCAAACGCGGCTGGAATCATGGGAAACGTGGGTTTAGAGGTGGTGACCGCATGAAGAGGTGGGGGAGAATTTGTCCGTGTTATAAAGTCTCAAATACATAAACACATTAGTAAATACAGTACCGTGGACCAGAGAGTTATGGTGGCAGGATACCGCTCCTCTGTTGTCCTGGTGGGGAATTCTTCTGCAACACATCCAACATCTCTCCTGGTTTTAAAAGGTATGGCGGTAGCGGCGAGCAGGAGAGGTGAGGAATGTTGGAGCCAAACGAACGCACAGAGCGGTGCATCTGGTTGTTTAATTGTTTTTGTGGTGCTGCTACGGCTGTGATATAATCAGCATTTGGTGTTCTAGCGGGGTTTTGTGAGGAAAAACTCTCAGGGAGCTCATAAAAGCGTCCCAAGCAGCTCACTTTGGTAAATGGTTATGGGAAAACTAATAAATACGCCTAAAAACAATTCTGACCTTTAGCTGAATTTTGCATGCTTTTTATTATTATAGAAATCTAGACCAACCATTGCAAACAGATTTTGCTCTGCAGGTGGGTCTAGCACGCTGCATTGAAGCCTTAGCGGCTCTACCGTCAGCCCGAACAGTTTTGTGGTCTTTGGGCGGCTTTGCAGCAGAACTGTTACGTGGAAAAACTAAAAAGATGGCATCAGCTCCGGAATGGCGCTCGTTAGAAACGGCTTTGGCATCAGCTTTGGAAGATTTAGACTCACTCGAGCAACAAGAAGACAGATGTACATAAGTCATGTATTTCAAAAAGGATGTATTTGCTTCTTTTTCTTCTATGGTGTATAACGGACTGCTCCATTGACTGATTTCCGTAGCGATGAATAAATCACGTTATTTGTTGCTCTGATGAGTCCTAGCTCTGTCCAGTTGTGTATGGAGACAGTTTGAAAGACAGCTGTAGACTCCACAACTCTCTCATCGCTGCATACGAAGCATCAAACTGTTGGCCATCATCAGACAAGACACCAATAATCCCACGTTGACTCGTCCATTTGAGGCTCGCTCACTCCCAGCACCAAAGGGAGCTGCTCACCCTTGTTTTGGTTAAGATCCTACTGTTCAAGTCTATACCCAAAATTCCACTACCTCCGCTCCGGCACGAACTCCGCAGCAAAATCGGTCCCGTTGTAGTCAATCAGAGCTGTTCCACTACTGCGGCCGGGCGCCGTTCCGCCATCCGGCAAAAATAGGATCAATTCTATTTTTGCCGGATGCCGGAGCACCTCCGCAGTGAATGAACAGAAATCACAAACGCCCAACAGGAAAAGGAGCAAGCACAACTTCCATTTTTTCACAATAAATCGATAAACAAAAGGCGTTTTTTGTTTCATATGCACAGGTTTAACAACTTTTAACAACTATCAATGGCGGCTGAACTTTAAATGCACAAAAGTAAGCCATAAATACAGTTTCTACTATCAAAGTAGTCACCCTTTGTTGATCCAAACATTGCTGATCTCTCAACACAAATGATGGGCAGATTAAACAGTTCATGCCGATGCTTCTCCCACACAACGGGTGTTTGGATCTAACTTCCGCGTTTATTGCTCGGAATGTATCGCAAGATCTCGAAAATCCCGCGCATGCCTGTTTGCCCACCTCAGGTCTCCGCACCGGAGCAGAGCCGTTGTAGAGCGGGTACCAGTAAAAATTGAGTTCGGAAGCGAGCGGCTGCGGAAGGCGGGGGCGGAGCGGAGGTAGTGGAATTTTGGGGTTGTGTCTGCTGTGAAATGAGCCTGTTCAGGACTTTTATTCAAAGTTTGCTGGTCCCTTTAACCTTTATGTGCCTCTGTACTAATTAAGTGTCATCAGTTTTAAATTCGATCACCACTTAAACCCTGACTTTCTTAGTTGATGTTGTCATCAATGATATAAATGATTTTCTTCAGATTTTTAACTGAACCTAGATTGTTTAACTAGCTGGCATTTACTGGTGTCTCATATGTTTTCTTTTCTGTTCTGTACAGGAGGTTCTTCAGAGAAATGCCGGGCAATGCACTTGATAAGAAATCCAACTATGAACTACTAGAGTAAGACTGAATTTGTCTTCAGTCACACCCATTGCTGTACCACATAAACACACGTGGGTGTGCTTATTTTGTTGAAAATGTGATTTTATTTTTTTTTAGGAAGGATGTTGGTTTGAGAAGGTTCTTTCCTAAAAGCCTTTTGGACTCTCTAAAGGTGAGAATAAACCAGTGAAACACACAAATCCTTTACTGGTAAACTGTTGTAACATCAGCTGACTGGCAGGAGGACAGATGTGATGAGTGAATTGATCTCTGGCTAAATGTCCGATTATCTGATTGTGCAGAATCGAGTTAAAGCTCCTGTTGTCGCTCTCAGCTCGCCCGGCTCAATCGCGTGCTGGGAGTCAGCCTCCACCATCTCTTAATGCTTTCATCTTCCTCTTCCCGTCCCATCAGGCGAAAACTCTTCGTAAGCAGATCCAGCAGACGTTTAAACAGTTTGCTAACCTTAATGACGAGCAGAGCATCCACAAGTTCTTTGAGATTCTCTTTCCCATCTACCCTTTTGATAAGGAATGCTTCAAATGTGCTTTAGGAGTAAGAATCTGCTTTCTCCACTTAAGTTACTAAGTTAAATTTATGTGATTGGTCATAAATTAAATGTCATTGCTGTCTTTTCTTTCCCCTCCAGTCCAGCTGGGTAATATCGGTTGAGTTGGCGATCGGACCAGAGGAAGGAATCAGCTACCTCACAGATAAGGGCTCGACGGTGAGTGTCCTCACAGTTACATCTCTCTTCTGCTGAAGCCTGTTAATTACACACTCATTTGGATCGGTATAGTGTCCCCCAGGATCGGGATTTGATGACATCTGCTTTATGGTGTGCTTTAATGCGGAAGCAGTGAGTGCTATGCACCATACTGCCATCTCCTGGCTGTTTCTGATTCTCTTCCTGGTTTGATTTCCTCCTAACGTGGCTTAAGAGCCTAATATGCTAAATGACAATAGGTGTAGACATCATGTCACAGCTCTCTTTATATTCTTTTAATAATTATTATGAACGGATCATTGTCACTATGCAGATACTGAATGTTGGCTTTCTTTCCTCTCACTGGAGATGGTTTAAAAACAACAGATCTTCTAAGATTTTGACTGCTCCTTCCTGCTCCTTCGACACCTTTAGACCAACCCTGATTCAACGCTGAAGAAGCTTCACTTTCACTCCCGCTATTAAAACGTAACCAGTCACTAAGCAGCGGACCACTTTAAAAATGAGAGGAAAGAATAACAAGTGCATTTACAAAAGGAAGGAATCACCTTTAGGAAGTTGGACCATTTTTATTAGGAGGATTCGTTATAATAATCAAATGAGCTTTAGACCAGTTAGTGTCTGTACTGGTACTGGTACAGACAGATTAACACCAGCAGCTTCTTCCTACTGGCTGGTTTTGTTGCTTAGTTCAGTTGGTGTTTATTGCCTGATAAATAAACATCCATCCTATCACGGAACTGCTCGCTCTCCTCCAAGTGTTCTCGGTTTTTCACGACCAAAGATTTGAATTATTTCTGAAACATTTGCACTTTACTTTACTCTGAGTCTTATATGGGATTTAATGGGCCTGGGATATTTTTTTGTCTCTGCAGCCCACACACTTAGCTAATTTTAACCAAGTCCAGTCCATCCAGTACTCTGCTTTAGAGGAGAAGGACAGGAAAGGGATGCTGCAGCTGAATGTGGCTGGAGCTCCAGAGGTAAGATGCTCTCATCGTCTTACAATTTCATTTACAGATAAAATCTTTGAGCCAACATTCATTGTTTATTCAGGTTGTTAATGCACTGCAATAGTTGATGGGTTTCAGCTGGGAACAAGGTATCTCCCTTATTAACAGTAATTATTCTCTAATGGATCCTTAAAACGACGTGTAAAAAGACTTTCTGACAACATTTTTACCCAAAGGACATTTCAAAATCATGATAGGCATCTGCTTACGTCAAGGTGGTCCTGCTAATGCAGGCAATAGATGTTAAAGGCAGAGCGACTGCTCATTTTCAAGCATAATGAGTAAAAATGGTTTCTTCCCAGTGAGGGACCTCTGCTACTCTTACCCCGCTGACCAAACCAAATGAATGTGTGCAGGAGAAAGAAAACCGGTTTTCTGAATGCAGCTATTCTGCTCGAGTGTCGGAGAGTGTCTTTGTGTGTTTTCAGCCAGATGCTGCATCTGTGTATCATCGCAGCAGCATTGTTGTTGGGTTGTCGGGACTCGAAAAGCAGAGTGTGTGAGCGCTCAGTGGTGGGGGACGCTCGTCCAAGTAAAGCTGTCATTGTGTCACTGTGAAGCATCTCCCTGTCCCGCTCTCACACTGCTCCTTCTGTGTGTGTGTGTGTGTGTGTGTGTGTGTGTGTGTGTGTGTGTGTGTGTGTGTGTGTGTGTGTGTGTGTGTGTGTGTGTGCGTGTGCGCGTGCGCGTGCGTGTGTGTGCGTGCGTGCGTGCGTGTAGCCCCTCACTGTCACTACAGCGTCACTGACTACTGCAGAAAACATGGCGGACTTGATTGATGGTTATTGTCGACTCGTCTCCTCGGTTCCTCACTCCTTTATCGTTCGAGTTCACAAAGGTAAGTCGCGCAATGAAGACGATAAATGTGTTTTCTGTTTAACAAAGATATTTCAGTAACACCACCGTGTGTGTGTGTGTGTGTGTGTGTGTGTGTGTGTGTGTGTGTGTGTGTGTGTGTGTGTGTGTGTGCGCCAAAGCTTAACAGTAAACGTTCATTTGGAGCTCTAACATCAAGCAGGTCTTTTTTGTGCTCAGTTCCTGTTCTTTGTCTCTGCAGATGGTGACCGAGCTCTTCCTTCTATACCAAAGTAAGTAAACGAATTCCTGCTTTGATTTAAAGAGATGTGCACCATGAAAACCGAGATATTGTAGTCAAATAGCTGGTGTTGGATGAGGAATTGTCATTGTTCTTACAGTTTTTGTGGTAATTCTTCCTCAAATTCAAGCTCAGCATCTTAATTTAGACCACGAGTTACTCATTTAGTAAACTGAACAGTTGTGTTGATATGAAAAGACTCATTTTATCTCTATCGAACAGCAAAGAGGACAGCGTGTTGGTGGATAGTTTCGTTTTCTGCTTCACTGCAGCTTGTTTTGGGTTTTTTTGTGTGTTCCTGTTGTAGAGTTTCCAATCATGAGAAACGGATGGAGAAGCGAATGGATGGAGTACGAACCCGAGCTGTGTGTGTGTCAGGTATAAACCCCAGCCACTGTCCTCTGCTCTAAGTGTCATGAATGTGGCAGGAGTCGGATAAAGAGTTCATAGATGTGTGTGCAGCTCCTCCTATAAAGCTTGATCTGTGTGCAGTGAAGAGCTCTTGTCTCACCAGATGTCTCTGTGGAGAGTCTGAGTCACAGCTACGGCCTCTCCTCTGTCTGCTGACCTCTGACTAACTCACATTTACAGTTTGGAGTTAAAACACCAGGAAATTTTAAGCAAAACGTAAAAAAGGTTAACTTGATTTTTTGGCTCATAATAAAACTAATTCTTTGTTTTTCCTGCATCATGCTTGTGTTTGGTGCTGCTTGTGGCTTCTACAGGTCACATAAGTGGCGATGGTAAACCTCATTCTTTCTATTAAACGTTTTCCATTAGCAGATTGATTAAATTGAAGGAAAACGGGATTTTTGTTACTTTTAAACTCGTAACTGCCTGTGATTTTCTTAATGACCCATGGCTAAAGCCATTTTCTTCAGTTTGATTCTCTGGAAAACACCAGAACGTTTCCATCCCTCCCCTTTCTTCCTGCCTGTATCTCTGTCTGTCTTCCTCACTGTTGTGCAGCTCTGAGTCATTCTTCGTGTGTTTCGGTTCAGTAGTGCATGAGCATGTTAAATGTTGAGCTCCTGTTTGGAATCCTGAATGGTAAATGGCCTGTATTTGCTGACGGTTTTTAGTACGGTATTCAGAATGACAGTGATTTTGTTTTTTTTAACGGAATTCTGTAGTTGCATGCTGTTGTGTACAAACGTTCATGTCGTTGTCACGAAGCGTCTTCAGCTTAAAAACTGCTCTCAATCTGTCTTTGCAGAAACGGACGACTATGCTGAGATCATAGATGAGGAGGACACCTACACCATGCCTTCAAGTAAGTGCACACACAGGCACACACAGGCACACACACACACACACACACACACACACACACACACACACACACACACACACACATGCTGCTAACAGAACAGGTGTGTCTGTTTATCACTGGAGTTACGTTGCATAATTGTGTGTGCGTGTGTGTGTGCGTGTGCGTGTGTGTGTGTGAGTACAAAGATAGGATGAGTGTGTGCAGGTAGGAGGATTGTTGTGTTATCTACAGAAAAGTGTGTAGTACTGACTGTGTGTTAGTGACTAACTGAGGAAGCGCGAGAACAGCTCCAGTCAGATCTTCTGGCTCTTAATCATTTTGGCGTGAGATGTTTGTGATTAATTCAGTCAAGACTTCAGTTAATTTGGTGCGTTTTGGAGCAACTTTGATGTGCCGAAGCAGATTTATCCAGAATAAATAATTCAGATATCAGTTTAAAGCCTTGTTGGTAACAGTTGTTTTTATATTTGATAATAATAATAATAATAATTAAAGCTGCAAGCAGCGTCGTTCGGCCCTCGCAGCTCCGCGCCGCTCCGGCCTGGCCGGCAGCCCGGGACACCAGGGCACGTCCGCAGAACACAAACGTCGACCACCCCGACACCAGAAACTGCTAACGGCCACCTTGTCCGCACCTCACCCTGTCAGCATCCCCTTTGAGCCCACCATTATATTTTATGTCTCACCACTAGGGAATCCTCTATCTTTACCACACTGGTGGTGTGATGACAGTGACCAACTTTAATGCTATTCTGACCATGTTTTTTAAAGTTATCGTAGGATAATGTTATCTAGGGGGCGCTGTGACCAACTACAGAAAAGTCCCATTGAGGTCAGCTTTGGTGACATTATATAACATTCACCAACCGTTTGTGCCTCATTGGCTAAAGGGCATGATTGTTCATTGCCATGTTCAGTTTCGGGCAAATCGGAGGCCGTTTGTGGAAGTTACAGTCAAATGTAAGGTCATGGCGTCACGCCAGCATTCACCATGGCATCAAAGCCCCTCCCTTTCTGGAAAGCTATCAGATCTGAATGGTCATTACAACATCATGAAGACAGTGTATGACCTCAGTGTCATGTTCACTAAATTAGAGGGGACAAATATGGGCATTTCACCATAAAACAATAGACTTCCTGTTGTTAGGGGGCGGGGCTTAGGTGATGTCAGCTGTCCACATTGTCGTTGCATTGAGATGTGGTCAGTGATCACACAGACAAAGTTTGAAATAGATCTGATAATGCACTTGGGAGTTATTAAGTCAAGTAATGTAATGGCGACTGGTCAAAGTTTGAGGCTTAGCCACGCCCACACCTTTCAACTTTTGAAAAATCCGACCTTTGAATTTTGTCCTCTATGTCTTAAGATTATATAGCAGAAGTTTGAAGGAGATTGGTGAAAAGGACGATGGGGCATCACTCTAGAAACAACGTGTGCGAAAACCACTAAATCGAGTACTTGGACCAAAATGGCCGACTTCCTGTGCGACTTTGCGCTTGGCTCCATGAGACTTTTTTGTAGGTCCTGAGACACCACATTAGTGTACCAAATTTCGTAATCCTCAGTCAAAGCATGGCTTGGGGCTGACAGTTTTAATTGCTCTAGGGGGCGCTATTTAAGAAAATAGGCCACGCCCACAAGTTTCAGCTGTCTATTTCTCTTGGGGGTCAGACTAGGATCACTCACCAGAAGTTTCGTAGCAATATCACGATAACTGAAGAAATGAGAGGCAAACGTATTTCCATGGCGTGGTGGCGATTTTCGCCATGCTCCCGAAGCCCCGCCTTTTTTTGAAACCTGCCAGTACTGGATACCAAGTGATCTCAAGTTGTCTACTGCTATTTGCCAGAGAGTCCTGGTGATTGGGTAAAATGAGTCCAATAGGGAGCTGTGAAAATAAGAGTGGCGTGGCGAAAGGTCAAAGTTTGAGGCTTAGCCACGCCCACACCTTTCAACTTTTGAAAATTCCGACAGTTGAATTTTTTCCCCTATGTGTTAAGAGTATATAGCAGAAGTTTGAAGGCAATTGGTGAAAAGGGCGACGGAGCATCACTCTCCAAACAACGTGTACAAAAACCACTAAATCGCGTACTTGGACCAAAATGGCCGACTTCCTGTGCGACTTTGCACCTTGCTCCAAGAGACTTTTTTTTAGGTCCTGAGACACCACATTAGTGTCCCAAAATTTCGTAATCTTCAGTGAAAGCATGGCTTGGGGCTATTAGTTTAAATGGTCCTAGGGGGCGCTGTTTCAGAAATTAGGCCACGCCCACACATTTCAGCTGTCTATTTCTCTTGGGGGTCAGACTAGGATCACTCACCAGAAGTTTCGTAGCGATATCACGATAACTGAAGAAATGAGAGGCAAACGTATTTCCATGGCGTGATGGCGATTTTAGCCATGCTCCCAAAGCCCCGCCTTTTTTCGAAACCTGCCAGTGCTGGAGACCAAGTAACCTCAAGTTGTCTACTGCTGTTTGCCACAGAATCCTGGTGATTGTGTAAAAGGAGTCCAGTAGGGAGCTGTGAAAATAAGAGTGGCGTGGCGAAAGGTCAAAGTTTGAGGCTTAGCCACGCCCACACCTTTCAACTTTTGAAAAATCCGACAGTTGAATTTTTTCCCCTACGTCTTAAGAGTATATAGCAGAACTTTGAAGGAGATTGGTGAAAAGGGCGACGGAGCATCACTCTCCAAACAACGTGTGCGAAAACCACTAAATCGCGTACTTGGACCAAAATGGCCGACTTCCTGTGCGACTTTGCACTTGGCTCCAAGAGACTTTTTTGTAGGTCCTGAGACAGCACATTAGTGTACCAAATTTTGTAATCCTCAGTCAAAGCATGGCTTGGGGCTGCCAGTTTTAATGGTCCTAGGGGGCGCTATTTCAGAAAATAGGCCACGCCCACCGGATGTTGACATCAGATTGTTTGAGGGGCCGGACTACGATCACTCACAAGAAGTTTCGTGACGATATCTTTAGAAATGACGAAATGGGAGGCAAACGTAAGGCCACGGCGGTACGCCTGATTTCGCCGCGCCGCCACAGCCCCGCCCTCTGCCGAAAACTCCCATAAATTGACGCCAAGCAACCCCAACTTGTCTTGAGTTACCAGCTACAAATTTGTGGTGACTAAGTGAAATGGAGCAATTTGGGACCTTTCACAGTAAAACTTGACCTTTTTGGTCCTGAGGGGGCGGGGCTTGTGTGATGTCATCATCCGACTATTCATTTTACTTTGTGGGTGGATGACAAAAGACCACAGAAAGTTTGGTAACTATTCCATTCAGGTATGAAGTTACAGCAATTTAAATTTTTTTGGCGAGTAGTCAAACTTCGAGGCCTGGCCCCGCCCCTTCAACATATACGAAAAGTCAGAATCCTTGTCTCATTTTGTTCGCCCATCCCTTCTGAGCAATTTTACACAATTTTTGAGTCGATCGTGCGAAAAATGATCGAGCAATCCAATCAGAAACGGACCCTAAAAACGGCAAAAAGGGCTGAAAATCGCCATTTCAACCCAAAATGGCCGACTTCCTGTTTGATATTGACCATGCTTGCAAGAGACTTTTCTGTGCGGACTGTTGAGTACTACGTGTGTACCAAATTTCATAACTGTACGATAAACTAAGCTTTATGGAGAGGGTTTTTTTTTCACTTTGTAGGGGGCGCTGTTCAGCCATTTTCTTTGCGATTTTTTTGGGACCTTTAAAATATCAAATTTTTCACCAGGCCTGACAAGTGTGCAAAATATTGTGAGTTTTGGGGTATGTTAAGGTCCCCAAAAATCCGTTCAAAGCGGGCTAAGAATAATAAATAATAAACAGAGCAAAAACAAGAGGCCTTCGCAGCGCTTTCGCTGCTCGGGCCTAATAATAATGCATTGAACTTATATAGCGCTTTTCTAGACACCCAAAGATGCTTTCACACACTCTCACATTCACACACTGCTAGTGATGGTAAGCTACTTGTAGCCACAGCCGCCCTGGGGTGGTCTGACAGAGGCGAGGCTGCCATTTGGCACCGTCGGCCCCTCTGACCACCACTAACACAGGCGAGTTGGGTGAAGTGTCTTGCCCAAGGACACAACAGCAGGATACCCCTGGCGGGAGCTGGAATCGAGCCCATGACCCTCTGATCATGAGGCAGCCCGCTCTACCACCTGAGCTACTGCTGCCCCAACCCATAATAGTGAATGTCCTGTAAATAAAACTACATTTTCCTCAGTCACATGCTGCTTTGTGCTTTACAAGAGGAAGCCACACACACACACACATTATTAGCCCCGCTGTCTATATGGATGAGTTGCCCCAAGATTAGGAAACAATCACAACTTCCTCTAAAGTCTCTGTTCATCTCTGAGTCTTTTATAGCTGGGTACAGACTATTGTTCTGTTCACGGCTATATACTGAAGCTTGTTAAGGGATATTTAGGATATTTTCAATTGTATTTAAATGTAAGTGATACAAATAATAATTATTATAATTTTAGATATTTTTCTAACTGTTCAGTGTTAGAAATGAGAGTTTATGACTGATTTTACAAATGTATATTTAACTGTAACTCATAAGCACACTTTGACAAGACTGAAAAGGTGTTTTTAACAGAAGTTTTTGAGGACTTTAACTATTAAATGCCACAATGGGTTGTCTGGATATCATCGGCACATTCACATGAGGGTTAATCGGGGTCTGTTGCTTGGTAGAGCTTTAGGTATTTTTACCATGCATTGAAATGAACTGAAAAACAACTAATAGAAATTAGGTTTTTGAATAAAATGCCTGACTATTAATACTCATACATTATCACTGCCCCATTCACATGACATCTGCTTCAGTCTTATTTAGTTAAATGTAAATTTTCTTACGAGAGCTGTTTTTAAAAGTGTGGGACACTGAAACTACTTTTTAACGATCATTTCTGATTACAATCGGTCACTTTGAGTTTTTCATGCAGGCTGAACATGAATATAGTCTCCTACACCTATCTGCTGCATTAGCTTCAGATAGAAAACAGATAGTGAAACTCTAGGATGTGAAAATCCTGACAGTTAACATTCATGGACTCATCCGTCTTGACTCGCGACAGGGAAGGCTGTTGTTGGTTTAGCATCCAGGAAACAACAGAGAACGTCTCGGCTAGTTGAAGCTAACTGTTATCATTAGCAACTTCACCACATGACAGAACTCCTTCAGGTTTGTGTTATTTGTGGAGATAAAATCCGGGACGAGATGTCCAAGTATCAGGAAATGAGAGTCTGAATCTCAGCTGTGATGTGGCTCACTTCTAGTTCCTGGAAATTGTGCACCGGTGTTCCCACTGAGTACGACTTACAAGGCATTCATTCCTACTAGAGATCTCTGCAAATGCATTGATTAAACGAGTGTCCCACACCTTTAAGCTAGCGACTATTTCATGGTGCACTTGTACAATGACAGTAAAAACAATCCTGAAATGAACAAAAGAGCTGTTGTTTGGGCTTTGGAAAAGCTTGCACGTGTTTTATCACAGTTTGTGTCAGATATTCAGATGAGTTCATGCTCATTGTAACCATTCTGTACAGAATCCAGCCTAGTAGGTGTTGGAAAACTCACCTGTACAAAAAGCTAAAATTGGCCACAGGTGTCTAGGGCTGGGACGATGATCAATAAATCAATTAATCGTACGATAAATGAAAATGAACTCAATAATTTTCCCAGCCTCAATATATCGGTCTTTGCCAGATACGTGACTTGCATGTCAACCACACCCCCTTAGCGCCACTTTAGGTGCATGACTCACGTTGCTAGGGGAAGCTGCAGCTGAAGAAGAAGCAGAACAATGGTGCTTACACATTAGCATCTGGACCGTAATTTGGTTTCACACACAGGTCAGATTTGCGTTTTCGGTGCCGAAGCGACTTTTTTTCAGACCCCAGCAGTCAGATTGGGACTGAGGAGTCACTGCGTACTGATTGGCCGGCTAAAATTACGCCTACTGCCTCCAATCTACGACAAGAATGAGCCAGTGGGGGGTTCTCGCATGTGCGATTCATTTTCATGGTGGATGCTGTTGAGCAAACTTCTGTCTGTAGCACGAAGCCGCCGTTCTGGACCTGCCAATCAGTGTGGGAACGGGAGAAGAGAGTAGATCTGTGTGTGCGTAGCGTTCCTTTTCTCTGCATCGAGCTCTTGCCATGGCGAGCAGACAGCTGCTCGGGAGAAATCCATGTGTGTGTGTGTGTGTGAGTGTGTGTGTGTGTGTGTGTGTGTGTGGCACAAGATTCCGAGGACACAGACAGCAAATTAATAAAATATTGTGGTTCCGAGTCTCCAAAAGCAACACAGCTCATGCCCGCCTTTCTTTACCTTATAATGGAGGACGGCGCGGACTTTCCCGTGCGTATTAAACGCCGCCCACAGGCTCTGGGATTTCCGCATTGAGAAGTCCCTCGGATTTATATGTGAACACTACACCGCCCGTTCGAGACCCAACTCATGCCATCCAGCCCGCCCGAACCCCGACCATGGCGACACTAATGTGTAAGCGCCACAAGAGTGAAAAGGATGGATAAAAAGAACAGGGATGAATGCACCTCTTACAGGAATAAAACTGTGAGGGAGTCTAGAGATCGGTATTTTCTGAAATTACTACAGAAATTCTACAGTCAATAACGTAGATCTCTACAACCTCAAAGGAAACGAATGGCGCTCAGACGTTTCTTTACCGCCAAAAATATATCACTTGAGTAAGTAAAATAAAGGTTTAATTGTTGCATTTTAAACTGCGTACTTGCATTATTGTGATATGTTAACATTACATAAGTGGTTATTTTGGTGTCAATAATGTCGACAATAATATTGTTTATCGTCAATAATTGGTTGGACAATATATTGTTCAACAGTATTTGATATTGTCCCAGGCCTAGGTGTGTCTCTTGCTTACTTTTTATTTGTTTGTTGAAAATAACACTTTATTGAGAAAAAATAATCAAATGTTTTATATTTAAAAGCAAGAAAGCCTTTGAGATAAACATTCATCAGAATAGTTGTTAACACCCATTCCTCTGTTGCTGTGATATATTTATCTATTAGCCAGAGATAACCGGTTATGACTGTATTCATGGGGAGTTTCATTCTCTTATCACTAACCCATTTTCCCAGAATACTATGGACTAGATCAAGGTAATGATTGGATCGCACTATTGTGTTGGCCCCTTGACTTGGTGGTTGTTGTGAATCCTTTTTATGTTTGCTTGCAGTTTTAAAACAAAGTTTAGGATATTTTTCTATCCCTCTACGTTGTTTTCCCCCAACCCCTCTATTTGATGCTTGGTGTGCTGTCCGTGATTCTTTTGGTAACGCTGTCAATAATAAAGACGTTTTTCTACAATCTTACCAGGCGAGTTTACTCGAGGCACGATCCTTTAACAGCTCAGCCCTGAAAGAGGAGGGGCAGCGGGAGGAAGCTCTTAGATATGCTTTATCGTAAAACCACAACAGTGGAGTAGCCTATAGCGCAGGAAAATCGGGTGACATTTAGAGGCAGAAATTAATAATTATGGTCATGCGTAATGTTTTATCACTTTGCGCTGCTATATATACACTTCAGGATTTTAAGTGCCTGAAACTGTTGCTTCTAAAAGTCACGCATGAGCTAGATGTTTACACCTCAGGATTGATCAGAAAAAGTATTGATCAGAAAACAGGATTAAAGGCTGCTATAAGCTGGATGTTTGGAGCTTTTATTCATGAACTTATTACAGGGTATCCGCGGGTCCTTAAAAAGTCTTAAATTTGCTTTTCCAAATTTAAGGCCTTAGAAATCCTTAAAAATGACAAATAATCCTTAAATACAGTTTCCAAAGGTCTTAAATTACCAAATACCCAATAAACAAGATTATTTTATTTCAATTTTCATGAATTTCTAGTTAATGTTCAGCATTTTTTGTGTATAATATTGGTGTAAGCAGAACCGTACACATTCAGTTGGTTGTGAAAGGGGGCTATTTTTAGATGAGCACATTAGCTGGTTAAGCTAGTGGGAGCTTGCGCCATGGGGACGTGCAACTTTTATGGTAACTGGATGGCTAATCCCACGTTCGTGACGTGGTTAGCACCGGTTCCAGGCAATAGCTGGAAATTATAGCTTAAATGTCATTTTAAAAAATAGCTTACATTTGGTCAAAGTGGCCTTAAAAAAGGTCTTAAAAAGTCTTAAATTTGGCTCCCTTAAACCTGCAGATACCTGTTGAGGACAAAGTCAAGGCAGCCACTTCCACTCCTTGTTTCTGATCAGTTTTAATTGGCAAAAACAAACCAAGAGCAATGGTAATAAGGAAATAGATTTGTTTTTCCAATTAAATGTAACAGGCCTCATTTTAGCCTCTGGGCTTTTAGTTCTCACCGCAGTCACGATTCACTGTTACACAACCCACCTGACTTTATCCATCCCACGTTAGAATCCGAGTGGTAGTTGTGTTTACGTGAGTGTTGCTGTCTGTTGTGTGGCATGTCTCGCTGGGGTGTGCTGATGCTGTTGCATGCTGTCGACCGTGCTGATTGCAATAAAGCCAAGCTTGTTAGAGTCCGAGATCAAGTCCTGAACACATAAGTGGAATCAGATCCCTCACTTATGGTGTTATCAGACTGTTGATATTGTTCATGCATGAAAGATTTATGGAGAAATGTAAATAATCCAGTCATGAAGGCTCCTTCAGCCCTTGCTGCACAAATAAACAGACATGCTCTAACAAGCTCGGAAAGCTACTGTTAGTGTGATTGATCTCCTTTGTTTTGTTCCCGTTTGTGTGTCTGTATGGGTCTGTGGGCAAACGTTTGTGTTTGTTGTGTGTAGCGCGGGACTATGAGATTCAGAGGGAGTGTATCGAGTTGGGACGATGCATCGGGGAGGGTCAGTTTGGAGATGTCCACCAAGGAGTCTACATCAGCTCAGTACGTATCCTCCGCTTTATAGCAATAGGAGTCCAAATGTCCCTTACTTTATTGTTAGTTTCTGATAAAATACATAAAATGAGTCTCGAGTTTCATAGATTCCTTGTTTCAAAGTAATAAACTGTTAGATGTTGGTTTTCCTTTTTTATGTTTCTTGCAGGATAATCCAGCTCTGTCCGTAGCAGTGAAGACATGTAAGAACTCCACGTCAGACAGCGTCAGGGAAAAGTTTCTGCAGGAAGCATGTAAGGCGTGTGTGTGTGTGTGTGTGTGTGTGTGTGTGTGTGTGTGTGTGTGTGTGTGTGTGTGTGTGTGTGTGTGTGTGTGTGTGTGTGTGTGTGTGTGTGTGGGTGTGGGTGTGTATTTACACACGTGCTATTTAAGCCTAGTTTATGCTTCTGCATCGGTAAGGAGACGCGCAACACTATCATCCGTCCTTGCGAGGACTCTCCAGCAGGGTTACAAGGACAGATGGAATCGAGCCCAATTTTCTAAACATCTGTCGAACGAGACAGAGAACACAAGCTTGTGGTTGGTCGGGAAGCTGCTTTCGTCCACAGTGCTACCATTGTGCTCTCAAAAACATCAAAAAGCCTAAGATATCTAGCGGCTTACACGGAGCAGCTCGAAGAAGCTGAGAAACGTAGAAAAACTCTGAAATTATTTACCCGTGACTGGCGGAGTGAAAAGATGCACAGCATGCGTTTTATTGGTGGATGGAAATGACAGAAAACGTGGGTTTAGAGGTAGCAAGCGCATGAAGAGGTGGAGGAGAATGTGGGACAACTTTGTCCGTGTTAAAAACTCTGAAATACAAAAATCACAACATAAACACGATAGTAAATGCACTATCAGGACCAGATACATGACAGGATACCCCAGAAGCACGCTACGCCCTCTGTTGTTCAATTCAATTCAATTTTATTCATAAAGCGCCAAATCACGACAAGAGTCGTCTCAAGGCACTTCACATAACAATCATTCCAATTCAGGTCAGTTCATTAAGCCAATCAGAAAAAATGTTTCCTATATAAGGAACCCAGCAGGTTGCATCGAGTCACTGACTAGTGTCAGTGACTTTACAGCAATCCTCATACTAAGCAAGCATATAGCGACAGTGGAGAGAAAAACTCCCTTTTAACAGGAAGAAACCTCCAGAGGATCCTGGCTCAGTATAAGCAGCCATCCACCTCGACTCACTGGGGATCAAGAAGACAGAACAGACACACACACACACCAAGCAATGTGTCCATGGTTACACCGTGATTGCTTAGTAAATATTCTATTTGGCGAGAGATAAACTTTATTGTATTTATCCTAGTGAATATTGTTAAATGGGTAAACTAGTAGTAGCACATCCAACGTCAAGGAAACAAAAAGTTATTATCAGGAGGGGGAGAATGTTTAAGTGGTTAGCAGCAGTGTGCTAGACCAGTGGTTCCCAAACTTATTTAGCCGCGCACCCACTTCTATGTCCTGACCACGTCGACACACCCCCCAGCCCCCACATCAGGGCATGGTGTCATGGCTCGAGGTAAGTGTCTAACCCAAGACATGCAGAATCAGCACACGTAGTCCAAAGCAGTAAAGTAAAATGTCTTTATTATAAAAACGGGAACTGAAACCGCACAGGGAAGTCCTGTGGGATGAGCAATACGGCTCGAGTCTCTGAGGTGCTCAGGTTAATCAGTAGAGGAGGGGAAGCTGGGGAGGACGCTGGGCAGAGGATGAGAGATCCAGGAGGGGTGAGGTAGCAGAGGGAAAGCCAAACAGGAACGGCGGAGGAGGATGGGACGTGATGAGTATGTTCCAGAAAACGAAGACAGCGAGGGTGAGTAGATGATGAGATGATCCTAAACTGGTGCAATCATCCGGCAAAGTGATGTGTCTCCATCCTCCTTTTGAACCCGCGTCCCTGATTGGGAAATCTCCTGCAGCTGCCGCTCCCCTTGCTCCTCACCTGTGGAGAATTAGCTCAGAGTCTGGTGAGAGGAGAAGGTGTGACTCACCTCTGCCCAGGAACATGACAGTGCCCCCCCCTCAACGGACGCCCCCCGGCGTCCTAGCACCGGATCTGGAGGCCTCGAAGTCCGAGATGAGAGAGGGGTCCTCGATGTTAGACCGGGGAATCCAGGAGCGTTCCTCCGGGCCGTACCCCTCCCAGTCCACCAAATATTGAAGACCCCGACCACTGGGGCGAGAGTCGAGGATGCGCCGCACCTTGTATACCAGCCCCCCTTTGTAGAGCTGAGCAGGAGGAGGCGGAGCCGGAACCGGGCACAGAGGGCTGGAAACGACGGGTTTGATCAGGGAGACATGGAACACAGGATGGATCCGAAGAGACGACGGGAGTTCCAACCGCACGGTCGTCGGACTAGGGACCGCCGCGACCTTGAAGGGACCAAGGAACCTAGGAGAGAACTTCCTGGTGGTCGCCTTCAGCGGGACATCCTTGGACGACAACCAGACCATTTGACCGGGAGAGTAGGTGGGAGCAGGACGACGGTGTCGGTCAGCCAGTCGCTGATTCCTTTCCGCGGTCCGCTGAAGAGCCGACCTCGTGGTGATCCAAGTGCGGCGGGCCCGACGAAGGAACTGAGGAGTGGTGATGGTGGCATCTGTATGAAGGGGGAACAGAGAGGGCTGATATCCGAGGGAGGACTCGAAGGGAGACTGACCTGTGGCGGAGGAGACATGGCTATTATGGGCATATTCGACCCAAGCCAAATGCTCACTCCAGGTGGATGGGTTGGTGGTGCAGACGCAGCGAAGCATGGCACCCAACTCTTGGTTCATCCGCTCGCATTGTCCGTTGGTCTGCGGATGAAACCCCGAGGTCAGAGCCACCTGGGCTCCCAAGGCGGTGGCAAACTCCCTCCAGACACGAGACACGAACTGGGGGCCTCGGTCAGAGAGGATCTCTGTTGGGATCCCATGCAGACGAAAGACATGTTTAATTAAAAGCTGGGCCGTGACGGCAGATGTAGGGAGAGCCTTTAACGGCACCAGATGACAGGCTTTGGAGAACCTGTCCACAACAGTTAAAATGACACTAAAACCATGCGAAGGTGGCAACCCACAAACAAAGTCCAAGGCAATATGGGACCAAGGACGGGACGGCACTGGTAGGGAACAGAGTAGGCCTGCTGGAGACTGATTGGTACCTTTTTGTTGGGCACAGACGTGGCAGGCCGACACATACTCCTTCACGTCTCTGTAGAGGGAGGGCCACCAGAAAGATCGCCTGATCAGAGCCACAGTACGTCCTACTCCAGGGTGGATTGAGAACCTCCCGGTGTGAGCCCAGTGAATAACCTTTCCTCGTAGTGCCTGGGGAACAAACAGTCTGTTGGAGGGTCCGTTACCTGGGCCAGGATCCACCTTAAGGCCCTCCAGGACCTGGTCTCTTATGGGCCATGTTACTCCAGCAACGATGCAGGAGGCAGGCAAGATGGTGCTAGGAGCCGTCTCATCTTCAGAGGAGTGCTGGCGAGACAGAGCGTCAGGCTTTGTGTTCTTTGATCCTGGTCTATAGGACAAAACAAAGTTAAAGCGGGAGAAGAACAAAGACCACCTATACTGTCGAGGGTTCAGTCTCTTGGCCTCCTTGAGATAGATCAGGTTTTTATGATCAGTCCAAATGATAAATGGTAGTTCAGCCCCCTCCAGCCAATGTCTCCACTCCTCCAAAGCCAGTTGTACTGCCAGTAACTCCCTGTCCCCCACGTCATACCTGCTCTCGGTGGGTGTCAAGCGCCGTGAGAAGAAGGCACACGGATGAAGTGTGTGGTCTTCTGGGGATACCTGAGAGAGGACTTCGCCAACCCCGGTGTCAGAGGCGTCCACCTCCACAGTGAACTGCTGCTTGGGGTCTGGTCTGGAGAGGACTGGGGCCTCGGTGAACCTCCTCTTCAGAGTCCTAAATGCAACTTCGGCTTCTGGAGACCAGGAAAAGGGCTTAACAACAGAGGTTAGAGCTGTCAGAGTGGCTGCGGTCTGGCTGTAATTGCGGATAAACCGTCTGTAAAAGTTTGCAAAGCCAAGAAACCGCTGCAGTTGTTTCCTGGTGGCAGGGGTAGGCCACTCAGTCACTGCTTGGACCTTGTCTGGGTCCGCCCTCAGCCGTCCACTTTCTAAAACAAAACCAAGAAACCTAACTACTGAAACATGAAATTCACATTTCTCGGCTTTTACAAATAGTCTGTTCTCCAACAGCCGTTGGAGTACCATCCGAACATGTTTCTGGTGTTGATCAATGGACCTAGAAAAAATCAAAATATCATCAAGATATACAGATACAAAGTCATTAATGTAGTCCCCCAACACTGAGTTCACGAGTCTCTGAAACACCGCTGGAGCATTAGTGAGGCCAAAGGGCATCACCAAATATTCAAAGTGCCCCAGGGGTGTCTTAAAAGCTGTCTTCCATTCGTCACCTTGGCGGACTCTGACCAGGTGATATGCATTGCGGAGATCCAACCGCGTAAAAACAGTGGCATCTTGCACAGGTTCAAAGGTTGATGAGAGTAGAGGGAGCGGGTACTTGTCCTTCACCGTTATTTGATTTAAACCCCTGTAATCAATACAAGGGCGAAGCGACCCGTCCTTCTTGGCCACGAAGAAAAACCCAGCTCCCAGAGGCGAGGTGGATGGCCTGATTATGCCATTGGCCAGGGCCTCTGTAATGTATTTCCTCATACTGTCCTGTTCAGGTTTGGACAGACTGTAGAGGCGGCTGGTTGGGAGCGGAGCTCCTGGCAACAGGTCTATTCCAATGTCAAATGGACGGTGAGGTGGCAACGTGGCTGCTTGATCTCTACTGAACACTTGCTGCAAGTCATGGTACTCACTTGGTACCTGGGTGAGATCGGGCGGCTCCACAATAGTCTTTTCAGAGTCCTTGGATCCAGAGGAAGCAGAGGTCAGGCAGGTAAGATGACACTCCGGACTCCAGGTCTCCACACGGCTTGATCTCCAGTCCAAACACGGGTTGTGTACCCTAAGCCAGGAATGGCCTAGAACTACTTGGTTCTGCGGGGAGGGAAACACAAATAATGAGATCATCTCCGTGTGGTTACCTGAGACCTGGAGCTGGAGTGGTTGGGTCCGGTGGGTGATTGTGGCCAGGGGCCTCCCATCCAGGGAGGACACTGTTAAAGGTTCCGGCAGTGGAACAGTAGACAGTCCCCAATCCCGCACCAGTTGAGGGTCCACCAAAGACTGTTCACATCCTGAGTCTACTAGA